TCACACCTCCCAGCCCGGCTTACCCAAAGCCGCTGGCTCTGGTTGTCCTGTAGAGCAGGAGAAAAGTCCCCAGCACTCCCTGTAGAGCCGCATCAGACGTGCCCTCAAGCAGTGCAGGTTTTCCAGCCTGCCCCACTCGCGTGCGTACAGGATGGTGTTCCTGGCCTTAAACTTCCGCTGTCTTTTCCCAGGTTTTCCACTACCTCTCCCTCTCCATTTTAACCATCTTCCTGGTTGAGGTGGGGTTTAAAGTCTTCGTCTACCGCCGGGAGTTCTTCCACCACAAGTTTGAAGTGCTGGACGGGATCGTCGTCATCGTGTCGTTCATCCTCGATGTCGTGCTCATCTTCCGGGAGCACGAGTTCGAAGCTGTCGGGCTCCTGATCCTCCTGCGGCTGTGGCGGGTGGCCAGGATCATCAACGGTAGGTGTGCACGGCCGCTCGGGAGCTTTCCCTGGTGCGCGGGCTGGATTTGCCGACCGTACCGCGATTACCTGGGCTCACGTCTTTGTTCCCTTCTCAAAGCCACCTGCGAGATCCCGGAATTTGCTTTCCCAGTTGAGTTTTGGCCGTGTGTTTTTGTTGCTGGAGCGTGGCCTTAAGTAGGCTGTAAATTCTTTGGAGCAGCAATAACCCGCCGCTCTGTTGGTGCGATGCCTGGGTGATGGGGGCGCGGGCTAGCAGAGATTCCCAGCTCTAGCACAGCAGCATCAGGCACCTTCCCCTAAAACCAACCCATAATCTCTTGCATCCCTCCTTCCCAGGGGGGATGGCTCTCCTCTTAAGTTCATGTTGTGGGATGCTTTTGGCAGCATTTTAGCAGGGGAGCAGGGTAAAACTCTGCCTTACTGAACCTACTGCTATAGCAGAATAGGTATGATGTTCTGCTGTGACTGTCATCCCCTCCAGGGATGCTGCAGGGAACGTCCTGATCTCACTCTGGATCTTTCTTGCTTGGGTTCGAAGGGATTACCACGAAAACAGGAATGTAAAATGTCTTCACATCAGACTTTACTGACTGCTGCTGTAAACTGATGTAAATAGATGTAAATTCAGATGCTTCTGAAACAAGTGTAGCTGCAAACACTTTCTTCCTTCTTGGAGAAGGGATTTTGGGATTCAAAAAAAAAATTGTGGCAATGAGATTATCCCTAATTCCTGCATGAAACCTCAGCCCAAGTGCTGTCCTGTGCCTTTGGCGAGTGCTCTGTGCTTGATGCAGCTCCCAGTCTTAGCGGGAATAAAAGGAAAGGAGGGGGCCGTGTCTGCCACCTGCAGCCCCCAGCTGCAGTTTGATGGGGAGAACGTGCCCAGTCGGCATCGGTGGCTGAGAAAAGGGAAGATGCGAGAGCAGCGCGTGGCTTTTTTAGTTCAGAGTGAAAGTCGGGGGGAAACCGGATTCGCGTGCAGCTGCGCGAGGCACGAGAACCTCGGGGTCTCTTAACTCGCCGTTTCACAGCAGAAACACGGTATTGCATTTACAAGGAAACCTCCTTATCTTTGGGTGCTCCTGGCTTTCCCCTCCAGGTTTCTCTCCATGCCCCCAGCCCGCTTGGAGCAACAGAAGGGGATAAACAGAATCTGCCCCAAGCTTCAGGTGCCTAAGCCCGGGCATGGTTCGCTGCCTCGGTCCCTGCTGGCGCAGGCCGGGTTACGGGCAGCTGGGGACCGTGTGATGTTAGCAATGCAAATAAGCAGCGTCGCCCGCTTTGTCTTCAGAGAAAGGAACCCCCAAACGCCAGGCCTGTAGCTCCAGAAACACAGGCGCACATCAGTGCCTGCCTTTGTGCACGTTGTGCTGTCGGGAAGGAACAACCTGATATTCTTTGTCTTCTTACCAAGCTTTTTTATCCCCCTTCCCCCCCATCCCCGGCCTCGGAAGAGGGTGGGAAGAAAATGGTTTTGCTATGGGGGCTGAGTTGACATGTAAGAACCTGACGACACTTCAGTGGAGAAGTGACACCTCCACTGAAACGAGACGCTGAGTGCCCCGACTGCAGCCATGCAGGGGGAAGCCAAATCCTGAAGGAGCTGATGGAGCCACGTCCAGGAGGGCAGGAGGGATTGGCCCTGGGGCGGGGGACAGCAGCGGTGTGCCCCAGGCAGTGTGAGCTGCTGCCAGAGCAAGGCTTGCTGGCTAAAACACAGCCCCTCGTTACAACAAAGCTGTCAGTTATGTGTCGTGCCCCCCCCCACCCGGCTCTGCTCAGGGAGCAAATTCAAATTCAGGATTTGAATGGCAGTCTGACTGATTAATTCAGCTCCGAGGCCACGTGGCCTCCTCCCAGCAGGGGATCAGTATCTGAATCCCTGGGGTAGCTCATTTAAAACCCTCCTCGTTAAGAAAAGCAGGTGGGAAGGGTGAAGATGACAGAACCAGAGCTCGAGAGGAACACGTTTAACTCCGTGAGCACAGAGCCCGTGTCCTGTTAAACCTCCTGCTCGTGGCTGTTTTACATTGTAAAATGGATCCACTGTGAATTGTTCCGCAGGAATAATCCTGTCCGTGAAGACCCGCTCTGAACAACAAGTGTCCAGGCTGAAGCAAGCGAACCTGAAACTTGCAACAAAGGTTGAACAGCTGGAACACAGCTGCGTAGAGAAGGTATGGAAACAATTTAAAGGTTCACCCGCTGGCTGCTCCCCAGGACGAGCTGGCTTGGGATCCTTTTGCAAGGTGGCTGCTGCCAGCTCGGTTTCTTCATCGGAAAGCTGTGGAGTAAGCTGGGCTGAAGAACCACAGCCCTGCCTGCCCAGGCTCTGCCTCCCCGTCTGCGCGCTGCAGAGGGACGGAGGCTACCGCTGTCCTGCTTCAGCCAGGTGGTCCTGTTCTGCCGCAGCAAGGGAGGCGTTTCAGCAATGGGAAAATCTGTGGGAACCTGGGAAACTATTTAAGGGAAGAGCTATAGTAATTGTTTGACTTTTGTTTCCAACAGGAGCAAGAAATTGAGAGGCTTAACAAGATATTAAAACAGCACGGACTCATCAGTGAGCCGAAATAGGAGGCCAGGTTTTCCAAGGTGGGGAAGTCTGCCCTGGTGAGCGCAGGGTTTGAGGTCTGCCAGTTTGACCTGAAAGGTTTTCCCGTCTCTTTGCTTGCTCTTGCATAGTGTTGTTCATAAACATTTTCTATTTGACCACCCTTTGATTAGATCTTGGGATTGCAAAAATAGTTTCACTGGAAAACTTAATCACGCGTACTCCCTGTAAACAGTGATTTCATAAGAGCTTTAATGTACAGTTGTACAGTCAAAACTGCAAAATAATTTAATAAAGACACAACATTACAAGCTGTACATCCATGGAAATATCACTTATTTGAAATAACTTCATTTTTCTGTGGTAACGTTCATTGCAACCTCTTGTGGAAACTTCCGCAGCACAGATGATAAGTCCCAGCCTGGAAAGGTCACTTCTTCTCTCCGAGCTGGCCATTCATCATCAGGACATCTCTTCTTTGCCAACCATTCTTCTCATATTGTTGGTAGTTTCCTCATTTCTGTTGCTGCTTGTACCACTTTTATTTATAAAACGTTCACTTCAAAAATACTAACGTACTGCTCCTTTGGCCGATAATCAAATGGGCACCAAAACAGAGGTGCACACGTGCTGTCTTACGTCAAACAGTGCTTTGTTCACCACAGCAGACCGGAGTTCTGTTCCTGCCTTCTCTCTTCTCCCATCTGAAGTGTTGGTCTGCAGCCCGCTGGGCTATGGAGCTCTTCGCTTCCACAGCTCATAAATCAACACGTGAAAAGAATGAGGCTACGTACGAACAGATGTCGGGGAGTAGAGTGCTGGGAACAGTCAGACTCCAGGAAAGCCATCAGAAAGCGTGTTCTAAAGGACCAGGCTGGTGTTTGAACACAATGTGAACTTTCTCAGGTACTAGAAGGTCCCTGTGGAGAGACTGTTTTATAGCTGAAGGGCACAACTCAGTAAGTGGGAATTCTTAAAGGTGTTGCCTGTAGCAGGCGTCTCCAGTTGATTTCAGTCAGCTGGAAGGGTCATGGAGCTTTTCTGAAAGCATCACTTCACTGTTCGGATTTTTAAAGAAAGGTAATTAATTAGCTGTTTGGGAAAAAGAGCTAGAAATATGTGGCTTATTCGTCTATGAAAATAGATAAAGCAGAAGCCTTATCTAATAGCACATGATTACTTTAATTAACAATTTAGCTCTGCTGTTCACAGAGTAATGGAGTCTGCTTTCCTCTGGAACCGTACTGTGTCCCTCTGCTCTTTCCTTTCCCTCCTGCCTCCACGCAGCCAGCTGGGACCAGCCCTACCCCAGAGCAGCTGCTGTGCTGGAAGGCTGGTGGCTGTGCATGTGCTGACTGGCCAGCTACAGCCACTGCCAGCGTCATGGTATAATTGGGAACTTTCCACTTAATGTGGGGTGTTTTTCTGCCCTAAAGCTTCTGAGAACCCTCGCAAGGGCTCACCCTTTCTGTCTTAGTCCATTTTAACTTGGTGTGTCTAACAATTCAGAAGAAACTGATGGCCCATCTCAGCGACTGGATAAACCTCGTTCCTTTAGGAAATGGACTAAAAGTCAGAAAAAGCAGAAATATGGCTTTTTCTGTGCATACTTACCTTAGACAAATGGGAAGAAAAAATCAAAGGGTAACTTGATGTTAATGGTGGGCCAAGCTTTATAGCCTGGCTCTGCAGGTGAAGAAATATCAGTGAAAACAACAGAACTCATAATGGGAATAGTCCTTTCCCTTCCTGAGGGAAGCTGCAATGAAAACACACACGGTCGTTAGCTTCAGTCTTCCCTTAGTGCGATGGTTTTGTTTGAACTGGGTTGTATTTTCAACCACTATTTGCAAAAAGCTGCTTTTTTTTCCCTATACAGTTCCCACGTTTATTTTCCTGGATGATATATAGAATTTTTTTTTTATGGAAGTGTGTTTTGGCAAGCAGCCCGCAGCTGTGTTTGCGTTGGGTGTAATACATTCTAATATGAAGTGCTACCTTTTGATAAAGAGATTACCTGGGTCACTGCCGCACAGCTGATACCTAACCAGAACAAGCCACTCTTTATCTTAAACCCTGTCATTTCCTTACGTACCTGCTTCAGTGCGGTGGTAGTGATCGTTGCTGTCACATTCACTATCCTGGCTTGTGGATTGACTAGGGATCCGTATTTAGTCCACTTCACTTCTATTTCAAGTGCTACTGGTATTTGGCACGAGCTCTGAAAGTGTTATAAATTCTGTCATTGTCTGACTCGCGCAGAAGCCACCACATTAATTATTCATCTTGTTAAACAGGCAGGATGGCCCCAGGAAGCTCGCTCCGGGAGGTTCCGGGAGCAGCCGCCTGCGCCCTGGACGGCCGCCTGTGCGGGCAGCACAGGTACTTGGAGCCTTGGCTCAGGGGTGTCCCTGGAGTTTCTCCGGAGGTGACCAGGCGACTCTGTAACTGCACTTCAGGCAGGATCGTTCTATCCAAGCAGGGCAGGACTTTGGCTCTTAGTGATAGTGCTGAGCTGGCTGTTTTTAGCAGGAAATTTATTTCAGGAATACCACTGGGACAGTAGAAAATCCTTAACTCTGCCAGGGCAAAATCATGTAGCCTACAATCTCAAATATTTTTAGGTATTTCTGGTTAGACAAATCATTTGCTCTGTTGCAAAAGCACGCAGGAAACCTACATAGGAGCTGTGGCTGAGGGGGTGCTGTCATCCAGCGTGTGCCAAGCAGCGCTGCCTACCACCAACAGCGGGGACTGCGCTGTGTCCGGAGGAAAAAGGCTAGTACAGAGGATGGAATGAATAAATGTAGTGTTTGGGTCAATTACACTGTTTCTGTGCTTTAAAAGATTCTTGCTATCTTACTCTAACCTGGCATGAGAGCACCAAGGAGAAACGCTGACTCTGTTACTTTGCTCTTTCAACCTTGTGCTTCATCCCCTCTGAAGGGCAAGACTCTAAAGTGTGGGTAGAACTCATTTTGTACCCAACATCTGGTCCTGATCCGTAATTGAAGAGGACTACAAGGAAGCTGGGGGGGACTTTTTACAAGGGCCTGTAGTGACAGGACACGGGGTAACGGGTTTAAATTGAAAGTGGGGCGGGTTAGATTAGATATCAGGAAGAAGTTCTTCCCGGAGAGGGTGGGGAGGCACTGGGACAGGCTGCCCAGAGAAGCTGTAGATGCCCCATCCCTGGAAGTGTCCAAGGCCAGGCTGGATGAGGCTTGGAGCAACCTGGTCTAGTGGAAGGTGTCCCTGCCCATGGCAGGGGGGTTGGAACTGGATGGTCTTTAAGGTCCCTTCCCACCCAAACCATTCTATGATTCTATAATAACAGAGGTGCCTGGATACCAGCCTGATTAAAAGTAAACCCTGCCTTCTACAGTAAGAGTGAAACTCCTCAGTTGTGAATATTCCTGGAAGACTTTCCTCTGGTTTGTTTCCGCATTTTTTTTCCCCCACAGGTCTGAGAAACCTAAGCTGATGCTGCAGTACAGGTACAGATCTCAGGAGAGAGAGTAAGAATGAAGGGGGTGGTGCTAATGGTGTAACTTTCACCTGGTCTGAGGTGTGGAGGTGAGTTATCGGCACCCAGTCGAGCACATCCTGGGCTTGGGAATTGCCAAATGAGGCCACATATTCAGGAAAGCTTTGTCCCTTCAGTAAATCCAAGAGGGTCTGAGTCAAAGGCTGGCATTTCATAGCTGCAGTGATTCTGCCAGGGGATAAAAAAAAGGATGAGTTAAAGCAAAATCCATTGGTTTGGCACAGTAATCATTTCTCCTCGCTCTCATGCGCTGTTCAAGCCTTCTGTTGCTAATGGGCACAATCTTTTCCAGAGAAAGACCACTGTTAATTAAATGACATTTTTTATAATTAAATACTCCTACAGCAGTATAAGTGTCCCATGTCCTTAACCAGATCCTAATGGAAAGGGTTGTCAGGGGGTTAAAAGCACTAAATTAAAAAAAAAGATGTCCTCTTACCGTAACTTACAGCCTGATACCATGTTATAACCAAATAACACTGGGGTTCTGGCTCCCTGAGCAGCCAGACAGTCCTGGTTGGATGTGCTCTGCAGAACGGTAAGTTGCCTGTATTCGTCAGCATTCTTAATGATGCCAGATGTAACACGCAGTTAAAGGGAAATCCAGTACTTGGTGTGTATCATGAAGAAAGAATCCTTAAAATATACCTGAAAATGCTACAATTGCCCCAAACTCCTCTTGCACTCTGAAGAAGCACTAAAGTCTACATCTGCCTCACTGAAAAGTCCCAAGAGTCAGGACCGCGTCATTCCCTACTTCTAAACCAGCCAGAAAAGCAGGCTTTCACTTTTGTTAAAGAACAGGTACATTTTACACGTGTCCATGCTGGAGAGGTTTTGTGCAGGTGGACCGAACAAGTGCTGCAATCACGACCTGAAGAGGGAAAGGATATCCTTGTGGCCTGAAGCCCGCTCTGACAGGCAGTCCGACGACATAACCAGGGTTACCACTGAGAGGAACTGGGTTTGTGTTTACCTGCAGTGCAAACAAACAGCATTAGTTCATATCCTGCACTGAAATGACTGGAAACCACAGGAATATTTCAGTTATTTTAGGATTATTTACTGCCTTGAACAACAGTAGGAGTAAGACTGCTGTGAAAGATTCTAACAGTTCCCTAACGCAGGGGCAGGCTTTGTTTTCACTGGACATGGTGACAGAGTCACGAGGTGACTCTTCTCAGAGAAACCGGCCTTTGGAGGCCTTTACTGCCCAGTTCTGAAATGCTGCCTCATTGGTGTATCCAGGGCAAGTTATATTTTACCTTGCTGCTAACAATGGTTCTGATTCAAGTTTAATAAGTTTTGTAATTAAATGTCTTTCGACAGGTCATCCGTAACATCTCCAGCAGTTACCTGAGTAAAGCTGATTTCAAAGCTCTGCTGTATTGAAAGTGTTTCTTCGTTAATTGCCCCCAAGACAAAAGCAGCAGCTGCTTCTATTATTTCTCCTGCGTCTGTGTAGGTAATGTGATAACTCACCTGAAAATTAAATGGTTTAGATATTAATTAGAACGAATACGTAAGAGGATGAAACCAGAAAAAAGGAATTTAAAGCTGTAAGTATTGTTTTCTTTCTTCCCTGCTTAAGAAATACCCTACTACATGGCAGAGAGGTAGCAGGTCCTCGAGAGGCTGGAGCCTCTTCAAAAGGTACTTCTTGGTACACCTCAGCGTAAGCCCAGTGTTCACCAAGAAGAGACGTTGGCACTGCGCGCTCCTCTGCCACCGCTCTGCCTGAAGTCATCTTCTCCCAGGCGTCCTGTAGACTGAACGCGTGTCATTGGCTGTTGTGTCACATAACACAGTAATAACAGACAAGGATTTCATCCTGCCTCTGGTAGGTTGCATACAGTTGTTAGTTGGTTGCAAAACTTTCATCCCAAAGTCAGTGTTTCTCCCGTCGTATTTGCTTTGGATATGTCACAGGATATGGAAACTCTGCACAGCCTGTCTGACATAGAATACCAGAACGGTTTGGGTTGGGAGGGACCTTAAAGATCATCCAGTCCCACCCCCTGCCATGGGCAGGGACACCTTCCACCAGACCAGGTTGCTCCAAGCCTCATCCAGCCTGGCCTTGGACACTTCCAGGGATGGGGCATCCACAGCTTCTCTGGGCAACCTGTCGCAGCGCTCCCAACCCTCTCCGGGAAGAACTTCTTCCTGATATCTCATCTAACCCTCCCCACTTTCAATTTAAACCCGTTACCCCTTGTCCTGTCACTACAGATCCTTGTAAAAAGTCCCCCCCAGCTTCCTTGTAGCCCCTTCAGGTACTGGAATTTGTGAATCAGGAGTGATTGGATGCACACACGCTTTCCATCAAACACCAGGAGAAAGATAACTGTCATACCTACCCCAAGAACTATGTTTATGCACAGTTCATCCAAAATCATAGGGAGCCTGAGGACATCACTACCATTAGGTAAAGTCCGCATTCCATTCAGAGTCTGGACAACTATGGACTGGACAGTAATATTAACCTGAAAAACAAATTCATGTCATTTCTGAGTATTGTGTATAATTATTTCTGGCTTTTTCTCTATCATTATATTGGTGACTGTTCAGGGTTCTGTTCCACAGGGACAGCAGTCAATTATCGTTACGGTTCTTGCTGAAGTTCAACAAAAGGTTCTATTTTTAGGTAACCAAAGTTAGCTCAGACAGTTTTAGGGAGAGGGGATGTATCAGGCTTGAATGTTTGCAGGTAGAGTATTACCTTGGAATTGCTAAGTATTGTTACTGATAGAAAATTAAATTTAAAGATTAATTATAAAGTCCCTGTTCTGATGAAATCAGTGAAAAACACCCACTGGCTTTAAGTAATAATTTTGCCCCCAGCTGTTCCAACTAAATTAGGAGGATACTCACCGTCTGACTTGATTTGGGCACCTGGAGAAGAATAAAAGAACAGATTCAAAGAGCAGCAAAGGTATGACCTGTTACACGTAGCTGTTAAGGCTTAACTGCTTTGCCTGTTTAACTGTATCGTTACAGTCACGTTTAAAACATGGAAAGGATTGGATGTACACTACAGTATCCAGGCAGTGTGAAAATAACTGGTATTCTTTGTGGCTAACAGGTAAAATCTTATAGTCCCAACCTCTTCTTCCCCTGACAGTAACTGGAAAATCGCGTAGCGACTTCCATCAGTTTTCCATCAGGCCTAGCTCTGACTACATTCCCAATAAATATACAGTGCCTTCACTAAGGAGTAGATGAATCTAGTTTCCCTTGGACACTATCTGCAACTCAGAACTAAGAGACACTGGAAAAGTTTACTTGCATCAGGAAGGTGACCCGAGAAAGGCATCTCCGTTTGGCATCAGTTATGTGCGTCGTATCGTTTGACCTACTGAAGGCGGCAAAGAACATTGTTCCTATGGCAGATCTGTGCAAAACCACTCACAGACCCCCAGTTTAGGGACTCTGCCAGGCTGTTGCCAGAAAGAAAGAGCTTCCAAAGAAAGGAAGAGCTTTTGTTGTCCCATTCTGACAGTAACAAGTCCATAGTTTCACGGTCTCTAAGCAGAGAAATGGGAGGCAAGTATCCCTCGTTGCACAGCACGTGGTTCATGCACAGTTGCTTCACTTGAAAATTTCCACTGAACCTTCATGGAAAGGCAGGAATGTCAGACTAAGGTCGTCACTCAGGCCTGACAAATTCTCACATAGTGCACCATTTTTTCAGAAAGTTTTATTTTTGTGACTTCCCAATGAGTCTTTGATTCACATCTTTGGGAAGGGACCATAATTTGGACTCTGAGCGTGAAGCAAGTTGTGCAGAATTACAACAGGATACAGAAACCAGTCTGCTCCTCTGATGGCAGCAGAGAACACATCCCTGTGAGCTGGAGACCTGGAGGTGATGCAGGTGAAGTCTGTCACATACCTACACCAACATCCTGAAGTACAGCTCAGCCATCAGAACCAGTTGTGTGAATAGAAGTGCTTGTAAAGATCAGACTCGTCCTTCGGGAAGCATGCTTTTTCCCCTGCCTCCCTGCAGCTGTGTGCTTCGCCCTTCCTTCTGCCGCAGCTCCACTCCCTGCCCCGTGACCAGCCCGCCCCGGTCCCGAGGCACATCCCATCTTCAGCTCCTTCTGGGAAGGGGAGTTTCCTACACATCGTCCCCTGCATTGACCCAGCCTTCTCCAGCTCTTGCAGCTGATCCTTCCTGAACCTCCGACAGGCTTTGGACGCAAGTCCGACCTCTCCGAAGCTGAGCCGTTGCGGCTGGCAAACAGCACGTGGGTAATGGGTTCTGTGCTCTTCTGGTGAGGAAGGGAAACGAATCCTTTCATTCAAAACCGTTCAGCTTGGAGCCCACCCGAACGCGTGCTTTGTATTTTCTGCTTCTGCAGCCACCAAGAACTCCAGTCCTGGGTGCACGTGGAGACAATCAAAGCCCTTCAGAGGTGGAGGGTTTTTTCACTTCTTCCCCAGCAGGATAATTGCCAGCAGCTCACATCTGTGAACAAGCCTTTGCTGATTTGAGTGAGGTCCTCAAAGGTCAGGAGAACCATCCCACCTGGGAGAACGTCAGCTGCACTGTCCATAGCTTTGGACTCTGGGGAGACTGGGGGGTCTCTAAGCAGTGACTCACTATGGAGAACTAATTAATTTAAATAAGTACGTAAATTTAAAACATGTTAACGGTGGAGACTATGGTGTTTCTAGATGACCTTTGGCTTCTGGAAAGAGCTGTCTGGTTAAGGTATGTATTTCAGTTTTGTATAAGTGATTACTTCCTGAGTATCTGTAAAGGGCATTTATTTATACATCATCCTCCAGTTCAGAAAGGGATGAAAAAGCAAGCTTAGCTTTGGAAAACTACCACAGACTGGATTTGGTGGTAGGCTGGATACAAACTTGCTCTCCGTGGGGTGAAGGTCCTGTTCTTTGAGGAGCAGAAGGAAGGCTTTGCGCGTGAACGCGATACCCCGCTATTATATACTGTTCGTACAAGCCTCAGGTTTTATGCAGGGGATTAAATCTTACAGGTTCTTCAGGTGCAAGGGCTTAACCACCTCTTTAACACCCAGACTTCTTGGGGTTACGCACTCTGGTGACGGGCTGCTTAGAAAAAGCTCCGAAATGCATAAAGCTGCTCCCATTTCAGTAAGTGTCAGCTCAGTGACACATCTGTCTCTTCAAGATTGTTATTTTTGTTGGCCAAGCAGAGAACAGTAAATGCTTCTGCTACCAAACTTGATGCGAAAAAACATTTCCAAAGGCTTGCTGTATACAAGTCTGTTGCATAAGGAGATTTTTTTTTTCCCCCCAACCCACAATTTAAAAACTCCAAATGAAACACCATAGCCTTTAGTAAACTGAAGCTGCTTAATTCTGGAGATACAAACAGATAGCCGCTGCCAGCGGTCAGCTACACCCCCCTTTCAAACCATACTTACTGCTAAAATGCTGGAGTTGATGTAGAACAGCATACTGAGTGCTTGAGTGTTGCCACATTGCTCCACCTTCACGGCTCTAGTGCATTTTGTAGCCTGGTTTACTAAAAACCCTGGGGAGAAAAAAAAGTCACAAAGTGTCACCGAAGGAAATTAAAGAGCAATTGTAAAAAGCAGAAATAAAAAACAATATAAGAACCTCAATTATAAGCAAAAGTGAAGGTAGATGTAATTTCTATTGCAGATAGGGTTTTATGTGAGCTATAAAGAGTACTTTCTTAGGTCCTCCAGAGGCAGAACATTACTTGTAGACAAGGGAAGATTCGTAAAAGCTAGATGATTTCTGACCTCATTTTTGAGATGTCACGAGATCTATTTTTTTCTTTCACAAGAGACTTCAGTTTTCCTACGGTTATCATCATGACTGTCATGATACTATATTTAATAACAGTGGGGTTTGGTTATGGTTTTCTCACCCCTCCAGATTTTCAGGACACTGTGTGAAAGGTTAAAATGTAGGGCTCGAGCCTGCAATCTGACCTGAGTTGCATTCAGGCTGTGAAAGGAACCTCGTTGTACTAAAAGGACATTTTACACAGGTCACCCAGTGAGGGCTTGCTTTGGTAATACCCTCTTCCCTCACGGTGTCACCCTTGTGCTGGGATAATCAACCCATCAGCAAGACTTTCAAGGATTTAAACTTCCTATTTGTCGTGGTTTAACTATGAACTATGAACTATGGCCAGGAACACAGCTTTCTAGCAGACACAGTAAAGAGATTTAACCCTTTTCCTGGCTGAACCCAGCACACTATTATTATTTCTATTTAAATTCTAGCTGAAACTTTGAATGTTTAAGATAGATGCAATACAACTTCCAATCTACATCTAAAATACCCCAGAGAAACAGAAGCTATTTGAAAAACATTTGTCCATGAATCTTTAGCTGAATTTACATTTGTGTGTTTGTCAATGACTGATTAAGCTCAAGTCAGAGCAGAATACGCTAAAGCAAATAAACTGGAATTCAAATGCATTCTCCAACCTGCAGGATTCACATCAGAACACCAAGAGGAGACAACAGGACTCGGTAGTCTTAGAAAGGCATCCACTGTCTGTACAGGAACACCATACTGCCAAACAAAACAACATATTCAAGAACATAGGTGCGTTTCAGTCCGTGGGAAGTTTTACAGCACTTGTATTAACGATAAATCTGCTAAAAAGATGTACTTACTTCACTGTATCTGTCAATCCCATACACTGTGCATCAGTTCTTACGCCACTGCTAACAAACAGCTTTGTATTTACAATAGCAAAACAGCGATTCATTTTTCCCAGATCATAAAAAATCTAGTTCATTTTTAAAATCAGCTAAGGCAAAATGCTACACTTCTTATTTTTACATTTCCACATTTAAAGACCAAAATAGTTTGTCTTTTTCCAGAACTGCAGTTTTTTAAAAACGGATGCAAACAGCGTTCGCTTATTCTCTTATGGAACAATCTCATACTAACTGAATCAGAATGATTTACCTCATATCTATACGTTTCATTTGCATCAGAAGGGTTTTGAGCATCTGTGTCCATGTTCCAGCTGTCAGGCTCAGCACTGAACGTAGCACTTCCAAATCGCTCAAGCAATTGATCAAAATTTTCAGAAGTAGGCATTTCGGGGGAACTGAAGGAAAGGGCTTGCTTGTCTGTCAGAACATTTTAAAGAAATGAGGCAACTTTTAGGAAAACAAGATACAGAAATGGTATTTAGTAATGTTTTTTTCCTTCTGGAGCTGTTAAAACTCAGTGACAAAAATACCAGTGCAGGTGTTTGTGGGTTTTTTTAATAAAAGCTTCCTCTTTCCTTTAGGAGAAAAGCTAAGTGGTATCGTAATTCATCATTTCACCCAGATCCATGAAAGCACAAACCAAAACTTAAGGAAAAAGGTAAGTCCCTCTCTTTCAAAATCACATTTTCTAACATTTTCTATGTCCCAAAACAAAGACATTCTAATGAGTGCCTACAGACTGCATGCTTAAGTATTCAGATGACTACTGCACGGTCATAATTAAATTAAGAGGGGACAGCCCTGATCACTTCTTACTTCCCTGCCAGTCACTTCAAAGCTGGGCTTAAAGGACTTGAACCAGCGGTGACTATTCGGGAAGGAGTCACTTTCCCAAGAAACAACTTCAAATGCCATTTATTGAGGATGCGAAATATGTTACCAAGAAGAAAAATCTCCATTAAGTCACCTAAGAGTGAGCGTACGAGCTGTTTTAACTCCATGGTTTCACGAGTGAAAGGATTACAGCATAAGGACTGAGAGCATAAGGAACCGGTTTTCTGACAGGTTTAGTTACTTTGAATTTTAGTCGGTTTCTGGTACCTAAAGAGCTTATGGAAATAACAGCACAATGCTTAACACTGGCAACAACTCTACTTACAGTTTGTAGCATGAATGCAAAAAACACTGGGATTGATTTGGTCAATTAATTCAAATATCCTTTCTGGTGGATTGGCTTCAACATCAAGTGAATATATAGCAGCTTTCTGACTACAGAGACGGCTGTCACCTCTGAAAACAGTAACAATACAATCAGTAAGCCACTAGAAGTTAGTACTGACTATATTTTAAAGTTCTTTTCATGTATTGAAACAGCAGCCAAAAACGTACTGAAGAGATTACTCTATGTAACACAATTTTTATAGCAGTTTTTTAACAGGCCACACACAGCTCAGAGCACTCTTCTTTATACAACACAAATGGGAAGTGTGACCTTTAGGCTAACAGGATGGTGTGTGGATGAGAAAAATAGGTCAGTTTGGTGAATATTGGAATAATTATAGGAACTTTAAAAACTTACATTTTAAGCATGGAGTTAAACTATTCCACTGTCACTCAGGAAGGCACTGATCAGTGCTTTCTGACATATAAATATCTATAAATGGGTAGCAGTAGTCATTGTGTGCAAAAGCAAGAAGAAGAGGCAGTCTGGAACGACTGCTAGTTCAAATTTCAAAGTACCAGGAATAAACCCCAGTGTTCAGGTTGGCATAATTTATGCAGAAGGTGGGTTGAAGAGCTGCACTTAATGTTCCCAGGCATCGCCAGGAGACTTTTACATTATGATTTTGAAGTCAGCTTTCTTAACTCCTTTTTGAGAAGACAAAATTGGGTGAAGGTGTTTTCAGATAAACTGTAAATAGCAAAGAAACAGCTACCAGCTGTACTTTATTGACATATTTCACTGCCTGTAAAGTAACAGACTGGCAGTCAGGCAGCAGGCTGGGATGCTGACATGTAGAACAAGGATTAGAATGATGCTCACGCTACTTCATTAAGCCCTGAATTGATCAAGTTTCTAGCTGATATCATAAACTGATAAATGGCTGATGACCTACGGAGGTGGCCAGAGGGTCCCATGGTATCAGCTTTCTTAACTCCCAGACACTGCATCATACTGATGACATCCTAAAGATGCATTGTTCTTCCCCCAAGAGAAGGCCTCACCACCTAAGAGCCCCTAGACAGCAGCACAGTGAAAGAGGAGAAAAGCAAGGACCATGAGTTTAGAAAAGAGGGAGTAAGTTAATGAGGCTGGGGTGGGAGGCAAATCTGCTGTTCTACCTGTTTGGGGCCAGATGTTTACAGGCCGCGTGCAGGAAGGACTGGTGAAAGGGTAGGCAGGAGTTAGGGTGGCAGGGGGAGAGGGTTAGGAATTGCAGAGGAGAGAGCCCTTACAAGTGCATGCAGCAAATAAACCAAGACTTTGCATGTCATACAGCTCTTTATCCACTTACGTGACAATGGGCACGGAACACGTAGTAAAGAGACTGAAATCTGCTGCGCTGCAGTCGGGGTCACAGCAGCAATTTACATCACACTGTGCCACCAGCAGGTCACAGACACACAGCTTGGCAACTGGAGGAGAGATTTAAATTAGAATCAGAATTGGAACTTGACACGTTACAGCATGTTCCCTAATACTTTCATTTTTTCACTTCGCCTTGTTTTTGACAACGGTCAAAAGTCTACATCCAAACTCACGTGCTGCGGTTTAAAGCCATTTTTAAAAGCCATCTTTTCTGCTACTTTGCAAATCTATTTGGAACACGGGAACAAAACCAAGGGCATGCTAAAACCTGCTGGTGTGTTCCCTGTGAAATCAAAAGATGCAACTTAATAGGAATTTTGAAGCTCTGAAAATACATTCAGCCGTGCAGAGGGCAAAAAGGTACAAACAAGGTGTGCATATCTGCTAGCTTCAGTTTATTGGGAAAACGAACAAATGAAAAAAGGGAACATTTTGATAGAGCAGTGGGATGTTTACAAGTGTTGAGCATGTCCCAGGGCCCAGTAATATATTTTCCTGAGGTGCCAACATAACCATAGTTTTTGACTTCTTTGAAATCGGTTTTTCTCTCTGTCTTTAGATACTGTGAAATATTGTAACAATCCAGAAAGTTAATTGCTGGCAATACTGTAAATGGTCTTGATAAAATAATTTGGCAACTTCTTACAAAATTCTTAGGTTTTCAAGTTTATCAATTCAAAGAAGAGTTATTACTCTACTGAAATGTTTTGGGAGTTGCTGTTCTATAATAAATCCAGACTTAAGAATAGCACAGAATGAAGAAAATGAAGAGCAGCACTCGGCAGGCAAGGCATTCAAAGAATGCTTCTTTTCTTAACTACTGCTTCTTTTATTTCAACTCGACTGTTGCCCATTTGCGGCCTCCTGGATGCTCTCTGACCATCGGAACAGTATCCAGCTATTTCCTGGAATCTCTGGAGTTCTGACTGTTCTGTCAGCTGAGTTTAGCACGGGAATCCTTAGCTCACCTTGTAAACAAGAGAAGTTTAAACATGGACGATTAGATTGCACAGTTATGCCTCTGAGACAGGGGATTTAGGTCTCTTTTCCCCGAGGAGGCATGCACTGGGGCATCTGTAACTTGGCAAGTGACCTAGGGACGCCGAACCGATAGCAACGCTGGGAAATGCCAAGTTAAAGAGAAGT